TTTTTTTTTTTTTTTTAGTAAAGAATGTGCTTTTGGTGAAATGAAATCATTAGATATATAGTGATTTCCATTAAAAAAAATTCTTTTTCCGTTCAATCATATTGTTGCTATATTTACAATATATATATATGTGTATATATATATCGCATATGGATTTACACCAATAGCTGAACAGGTCCTTCCTTCGGGATTGGAAGCCAACTATGCCCAAGGAACGATCTTGCCTAGATCGAAATTTTATTTGCCTACACCATCTTCCGAAATATAAGTGATTCACATGTTTTTTATCAGCCCTCTACAATTCAAGATATTATGGAAATTATTTCATGAAATGTTGCGCGTTAGTTTTCCTCTTATAGGCACTGGGCCTGAACAACACAATCCCTGGTAGCCTGATCATGTATCTTCCGCACACGAGGCCAAAGGATAACTGCCTTGCAATAGTAAGATGAGTTTCTGCGCAGAATGCAACAACCAGAGCCAATTACCATACTTTCTTTCATTTTTTTTTTCAGATTTGTTTGTCATAGTTTGACTTTACTAACCTTACATCTCACTCCTTCAACTAAATTTTGTAGTTCTTGTTCTACAAATTCTGAGGCCTTCAGTTTATATCTTGGAATATGACTTTATTTCTTTGGTTAGTTTTAAATATTATTTCTCCTAATTTTTCTGATGTAAGTGAGAAGATTCTACGCTTTTGGTATGTTATCGTTTCATTTATGTCATTACATTTCTGATAAAAAATTGGTATGATGAAGAAAAGAAAAGTATCTGGTTAAATAAAATATAATTCTCTTGGAATTACCTATTTGTTTCTGGATATCAAAAAACCTTCATTAGGATAATCACTCCGTCTGTGTAGACCTACCAACATGTTGTTATGATGGTGTGGTTCATTATTTAATAGTATGGTACTTTTTAGTTTTTTACCTTTGTAATTTTTTTTTTTATTATGTTTCTCGATCCAATTTGGTTTCATTGTTTATCTTTGTGTGGAGATGTGCTCTGATGGACGTGCTTCCGAGCCTCCGAGGAGGAAGTAATATCACTATATTGCCTCCATCTAGAGTTTCACCTACACACAATTGATATTCGAGCCTTATTTAGTAGTAATGCCCACTTCATTTTGCTTATGCCTTATGCTTGTTCATATCTTTTTTTTTTCCAGGTTTGCTATAGATTTACAAAAAAANAAAAAAAAAAAAAAAAAAAAAAAAGTTGTAAATCTTGAAGAATTTATTGCGTGGTGAATTGGGTGAACATTGAGTTTTTTTATGTGATTCTAATTTGTTCTGTGAACCAACTTTTTTTGTGTCTGAATTCTTATTAGTGTTTTTTTTCCTGTTTGATTTAGTAATCCAACGTTTACTTTTCAGGTAATATCCTGATAAAAATCTGGCAATGCAAAGCCTGTTGTTGCATTCAAGAAACTGTAATATGCTTATGAGGTGATTTCTTTCGCTTTTTTGTTCTTTTTCTTTTCCAGTATAAAAAAAGGTTGCTTATATTGTTTTAGAGTGGTGAATGTGAAAAAAGGTTTGTATGCATAGATTCTACTGGATGTCTCCAATAAAATTAAGAAGAAAACAATTTGTACGATGATGAGTTGTATGGAAGAATAGCCTAATTATTAGTAATTTATGGGATCTTTTTAATACCTCTCCGCCAAACATGTAAAATGGACCATATGTTGGGTGATTTGGTCGGTCGATTTCTTTAGAACACATATAATATTTATATGCTCAAGATTTGAATATGTGTACAAAATAACAACCTTTATGAAACTGATGCATTTGATGGGTCATGTTCCCTTCTGGTTGAAGTAATGGACATGGAAAAGATGATTCTACTTATATTCTTATTTTTACAACCTTCTCTCTCTCTCCAGGATCCTTTCGTGATTTTTTTTCCTAAATCAAGGTCCTCATGTTCTTTATTGTCACGGCCACATATGATATTGTTTTTTTTTT